AAAAGTTAAGGCGTTTAGGACATACGTCCATAGGAAGTTTTTTTCATAAAGTGGGTCTAAGAATTACCTCCTGAAATATTAGCATGTGTTTAAGGAACACCCTGTATGTTTGTGTCAAATGTCACTTACTCATAATTGATGATGCAAATCTGCTCAAATCATGTTCCAAAAATTGGGCCCAATGCAGCGTAGCCATTGTTATATGATAATTCGAATATTTGATAGTGTCAACATGTGAATTACTGAGTACTCTGGCATTTGGAAGAGGTCTCTTATCGTGAGCTCTACGTGGTATACGAATTCCATCAGAATAATCAGAAGGTAAAATTCTGGAAGTAATATAGTTAATTGAAATGCTGGAATAATGAACCACTGTAAAATAATTTTGGATTTCAAATTTTTTATCAATAAATAGTAAAGGGAAACTTCTGAAGGAAGGGAAAAAGTAATTGTTAAGTACAGTAATGAAAACTATTCTCAAATATATGTAGATCATGCACAGAAGTTTCTCCCAGAAACAAACTGGAAGGAAAAACAAATTGGAAACAACCTCTATTGAATACATGAACATTGAATTATACGAAAATCACTTTTTTCCGTTCAGTTGAAACAGAAAATAGGCATGCTATGTAATAGCACTGTAATACAATTTCACTAACCTACATGAGAAACTTACAATCTGTAGGTTTACCAAAGATTGGAGAGAAAACGGTTGTCCTCAACTCCTCATCAGCATCTTTTTGGAAAACTTTGAANAACAGATGGTTCAGTTGCAACAACAGCCATAGAAAAAGCAAACCTACTAGCTGAACAATTTGCATCCCACTTCAAAGTCGATTTTCTGGGAAAGGTATCACCCACTATTCCTAAAATCCACAATGACGAAAATTATTTTTCGACAGCGGCTAGTCAGGCAAATTTCGAAGGAGACAGCTTTATATCAACAAGGCATCTAGTCCTGATGAACTGCCCGCAAATGAACTCGCACCAGAATTTTGCAGACTTTTCAATCTGTCTTACAAGAAAGGGGATTTTCCTTTTTGTTGGAAGATCGCACGCGTTCAGCCTGTTCCCAAATAGGGCAAGAAAACTCTTCCAAATAACTATAGACCAGTCGCTTTGCTATCAGTAATATCAAAAATTATGGAGAAAGCCGTGAACCACCATATTATCAATTATGTGGAAGGTGTCAACATCTTGAGCGATCATCAATATGGCTTTCGGAAACAAAGATCAACAGGCGACCTTCTGTCCTATGACACCCATATTTGGAATAACGCAATCGAGAATAATGAAGAGTCAAGAGCTGTTGCGCTTGATATTTCTAAAGTCTTTGACCGTGTGTGACATGACAGTTTGCTGGCCAAACTTTCACGGGAAATGTTCAAGTGACTTGACACATTTGATTCACCAAGAGCGATACATATCAGAAATACCCGACGGACTGTGGCTGCTCACCGTTTTGAGGTTCAACTCAGTACACCTCAAACTTCACTGTTTAAGAACTCTTTCATTTCATAAACTGCGTTTATGTGGAATAAACTTCCTGAGAACGTTTTTTCCAAATAGATTTGATCTCCATCGATTCAAATCCAACGGGAATCACTATTTTCGCACAGGCACTGCTCTACGAGCGCCTTAAGGATTTTCTCGTAGTGCTGGTGTTTTTTCCTTAAAAAAGTTTCGAAAACAAAACTCAAAACTCGGATACTACCAAACAGACAAAAATTAGTCTGAGTCGCGTGTTTTGTTGTGAAATTTTGTCTATCGTTTCCACCACAAGAACAGTTTTCATCAAGCCTTTTCTAGAGGGTGTTTTTATAACGGCCTGCGATTTTTTCATAATCGAATATTTTGAGCGAAAGCAGTGCAATACAAATTACGGATATGTTGCTTGTTGTTGTCGGCGACCGTTTCCACATAGTGAACTCTGTTTTATAGAAACAAAGACAAAACACCGACGCTTTTTGATCTTTTCCACTGCCGACGGGATATTTCGTTGTTCACAAAAACAGTCGCCTACAACGCAAAGTCTTCAAAATGTTTTTTATTTTGACAACTCAAATTTTTGTTTCGTCGAAATTGACACAGTTGTTGTTTTATTGTGGTTTTGTCCGTTTGGTGGAAATCCGCTTTTACATCACTTAAATGAAATTATGGTCTTAAAAGTTTTTTGTCACATATGAAAACCCTTATATAACTTTGAATAGATAAAATAATTCGGGAATGAAATTTATTCATATATAATGATATCCATCATTATTTCATCAATCAAAAGTGCATTACGTTCAAGAATGATAAATTAAACTTGACTTGGTCAGATAGGTAACTTAATGTGGGGGACGAATTTCCAGACCATAAGCCTCAATACTGGATAAAAAGAGTTTAGATTACCTCAAGCATAAAGAAAGATTATTGACTCAACTACTAAAAATGAAGAGAGTCAAACACTCTCTTCAGAAATCAACAAAGGGAGATACACAACTACCGGTAGTGTACATAACAAAAAGCCCCCAGGTCATCCCTCCATTCCGGAAGAGCAGCAAGTGCAAATAATTGGTGAGATGGTAGTAAATCCTGAACAGTCTACTTATTCCGTCGCGAATGTTTGTGAAGTGTCTCCTTCTACTGTGTGGAGACTTTTGAAGAGGAATAGGTATCATCCATACAAAATAAAAATGTTATACCAATTAACTGAAGATGACCCTGATCGAAGAACAGAGTTCTGCGAAATTATGACGGAAACCATTGCTAGGCATCCTACCTATCTCCACAATTTTTGTTTTAGTGACAAATGTACATTTTTTTAAATGGCTATGTTCACAGACAAAATTGCCGTTATTGCAGTGACACCAACCCTCACGTTTTCCGAAAACACATACCCAATATCCAGAAAAAATTATCGTTTGGGCAGGAATATTGGGAAACCATGTTGTAGGAACTCTATTTATTGATTTAAATTCAACAGAGGAACTGTATTTCAATATGCTGGAAACTACTGTTAACCCTCTCATCACTGAAATCGTCGAAGCGAATCCTAACGAATTCGATATGGATATTGAATTCCAACAAGATGGAGCACCACCACATTACTCCAGACAAGTATGAAACTATTTGGAGTCTACCTTTCCCGGTCATTGGATTGGCCGTCGAGGTCCTATAAAATGGCCAGCCCGCTCGCTAGATTTGACACCTTTGGACTTTTTTCATAGGGCTATTTGAAGCAAAAAATGTACGAAACTGAACTTGCTCCAATATTGGATATACGGTAGAGAATAATGAATATTTGTAGAGATATTGACGTTACTGTGTTCTAAAATGTTCGGACTGAAATATCGGAAAGGCTGTTCATATGTCAAGAAGTTTTCGAGCATCTTCTGAACTGACCACAAGCTTATTACTTCATATTATATAGTTGAATGTCAATGTATTCAGGCAATTATTAAAAGTTCAGTCATTTTGTAGTAATTGAATATATTGACATTATATTCTAGAGTTGTGAAGCATTTGTCAGGAGCTTCAAAAAGGTGTGTCACAAGACCCCGCTTTCCATTAATTTTTTGCCCCAGATGGCGCCCAGTCGCCATCTTGAAAGTTTCATCTGTCGATTTCACTTCAAAATAAAGTATTCATGCATTAATTTCATCATCCCAAATTTCAATTTTTTGAGTTGACCCGTTCAAAAAATAAAAGGGGGAGAACTTTAAATGCACTGTATGTCCCCTCAAAATTTCACAAGTTCGAGGATTACTTTTTACTTTCACATACAAAACCGTGAACCTTGCCAGACTATTTTCGATTTATTGCATTGAAGTGGAATGCCTAATGCCTACATAAACAAGTAAATGCTATTGAATTCAATGTGACTCACTCTGCGCAAAGTTTGCCACTCAGTTGCGTTGTGGCTTTTGAAGCTATAAGTGCTTTTCTACCCCTTTCTACTGCTTCTTCGTCTGGTCGATACAAAATAGATATTCCGTGATTAGGTGATCCTTTCTCCATATCCACTTTCCACTGAATATTATTTTCCAGTCTTTGCACATGATGTGTTACTTTGTAAGCGAAATCAATCGAACTATTGATATCATCAGCGGTAATGGACAAGTTCTTAAGGACCTCTTCGTGGAGAGATATACGAAAATCTGAAAATGGATACATAAAAATAAAAAAATCGATTTACAAATATTTGAAGTAGTAAACATAAACTACAAAAGGTTTTCCGGAATAGATTCATTTGATTTTCGTTATGAAAAGTTGAAATATTAACTAGGATAATTATTTTAATATCAATGGGTAATCTAGCTATTATAAAATATTAAAAAACTTCCCCACCTTTATCAGATCCTGCCAAGTATACAATATTGATTTGAAATAATAAAACCAAAATACGGAACTGAATTTTGTTAAGCTTCATTTTCTTGAATCTGAAAATCAAACGTGAAATACATTATTCAAAGTAACACATAGTAACATTCATTTTATAAATGAATGAATGAACAATTTTCATAAACTGATATTATATTTATTATAATTACTTGTTAATTACAATTTAACACATAGGTTCCGTAACAACACAATGAAAATGACAAATCCTAACACTTATCAGAAGGATAAATAAGGAAACTCACTTACTAATTTAAAAAAAATACAATATTGATAACCGTAAATGTATTCTCCGAAGTAATGTTACACATGTTAAATGAGAAAAAATAAATGATTACAACTACATGAGTAAAATAAATTGGGACAATGTAAGAAAATAGCAATTTACGTAACAAGTCCAGGAATCTGTTTTTTTAGGCGAGTCCTGGACGTCTGCGAGTCCAGGACGTATTACGTACACTATTTTGTCGGCAACCGTTTAGAATGACAAATCAATAAGACACATTCTCATTTGTATTAAATACTGAAATTCGAACAGAAGACTAACAGAAATATTCTAACTCTTATTTATATTAATATTTATATGGATTCGAGCACCTGATGAATTAAATGTTCCAAAGTGGCGTTTTTCCAAACAGTTTGAAAGACGCGGTCATTACTCCTATATTCAAAGCCGGAGACACACATTTTGTTAATAATTACCGANTTATTATTATTATATTTTGTATGATGATTAATTGCTGATATTGAAGGGATTCAATTTTTTCATAATGCTTGGTATATTTGAATGCCTTTTGTTGAAGTCAGAACAAGAAGGTAAAGTTTCTCTTTCACAATGATTGTTTTCATCTGATAATCTTTGAATGGTCTTGACAAACTTAATTTGTAAGTGAATTGTCTACATAGATATCCTTCAGCGACATTGGCAGACTTCCAGCTACCGTTTCTCTTCAAACTTGTGATGTTTCCACCATTTTCAGCAAATAGCGTGACTGAAATTAAAAAATTCTATTGCCTGAATTCTGCATTTCTCAATCCGAGATTACCAGAACTGCGGATACTAGGCTGAATCAAAGATTTTTCTTTTTTGTAATTCACAAATAATCTGTTAGGTGGAGTATGGGATGGCCGTAAACATAATAGATTTTTTGCCCAATTACAACAAAACTTCTCTCAAAATGTGTTTTGGAACCTGGTATTTTCACAAGCCATGACATTGCTTGTGAAAATACCAGGTTGTTACCATTGTTGTTACTTTTTCTGTCTACGCACACCGGATAACCCAATAATTCTTGCTACCTAAGTTAGGTTAGGTTGGGTCAAAAGTGAGTGGGTATATTCGAACCTCCACCGCAACCCGCAAGGGTCTATGGAGGCTCACATCCATTCAAACTAGACCAAATAAACCCAGCTTCTTAACGAAGCTGATTAGTTTATAGGGTGAGTGATCTTTCAGGTCAGACGGTAAGAGTGTGGCTCTGCCAAACTCTGAAAACCTAATTCGGTCCGCAGCGGGGCAGGCATAAAGTAAATGCTCTGCTGTTTCTACACACACTGTCTTCCGACAGTTCGAGTCTCTGCATATGATGGTTCAGACGACAGTGACTTATGAGGAGGCCTGTTAGACATCGTAATTCATCCCTACTGTAGTCCAACAACTGTTTGGTTTCAAGCTCTGAAGGGTGTAAGAATGTCATGGAGTGAACCGATCCTGGGAGATTTTGCCAGAACTCCTTAAATCTTCTTGCCATCCATGTGTTCAATGTTTGTTTAGCGAAACTTAAAGCGATGCCAATAACAGGTTCTGGTCCGATGAAGCTGTTTGCAGCACCCCCCTTTGCAAGTGAGTCATCAGCCTCCTTGTCTTCCAGGCCAGTATGGCCAAGAATCCAGACCAGAGACAATATGTTTAGTCTTCCTATTTAGGAGAGTCGTTTTTGGCAATTTGCTACCAATTTAGACGTTGCTCGGTAGGAGCCAAGAGCTTCCAACTTCGCTTGGCTATCCGACAATATTTTCATTGATTTGTGTATGAGGTTGGATTCCACCAATCTCTCCGCACCCGCACACAATTCAATAACAGATTTCCGCTTGAAATATAGTCGCATAGGTCCCTAGGCAGGTTGATATCTCTATACTGGATCTGCAACTGAAAACACCTGCACCAGAGCCTGAAGCCATTTTTGATTCATCTTTGAACCAACAACTATTTGCTCTTGATATCTCCTTCTCCCGAAGGATCCAGTCCTTTCTACTCGGAAAAAGTACTGAATAAGGCAGTTCGTAGTTGACAGTTGGAGGTAAAATGGCAAATGTCATTTCCAGAATGCTGTGACTTCCAGTGTTAATCAGCAGTGTAGTGTAATCTGCATTAGATTGATTTGTGCAATTGGCGATGTGCACAAGTCTATATGGAATCCATCTAGCCTCTTTCTCCAGAAAAATGTGGACAGGAGGTAGATCTAGAAGGATCTCCGTAAGAAAGCAAATTAACTTGATATACTTTTATATCTTACAATCGTGATATTTTATTAAAATTACCTTAGCATTAGATATCTTTCATTATTTGCTTCCTTAATGAGTTTGTTGATCTGCTCGCTGTTGAAGACTTCTGATTTCTTTCCTCTATAACCTCTATAACATTCCTCATTTTAAGAAATGCGATAATCTTCGAGAGAATGGATATGTATACATTTTTCTTCACTAAAATGGTATTTTTCAACATAGAGTATATATGCTTCCCAAGAAAGAGGATTTGACAGTTTCAGATTTTTTCGCCAAATAAGCCTAAATCACATTCTCTGGAAAAGTTTTGCATTATTTCATATCCAATCATTTCGACAATTTTTATTTTTAAGTCAATAATTGTGCTCAAACAGTAGCTGCTACATTGGAAATTTCGTAAGGCACATTTTCAAACTCACTAGCGCTGCTGCTTTCTATGGTTTATTGCAATAATTGCAAAAAAAACATGCAAACTTTGAAAAATCAAAATGTCAACTAATTTCATGTCAAGTAGCTGTCAGTCGTTATTCCGGTGCAATGGTAATAATCAACTGCATTTATCAAAACCATACCTACCAAGATTTTCATATTTACAATGACATCAACGACGTGATTCTTCCTGGACTAGGCCGGAAAAATGTTACTTCCTTCAAGAAAAATTATCCGGGAAGTGCGTACTTCACGAACGGTTGCCGAAAAAATTTAACGAAACTAATAATTCATTTTGAAAACTTTCATCAACCTAATTTTATGAACACTAGATGAAATAGACATGTACCGAGTGCTCTGGGCAAAGAATTTCAATAAATCGTAAAGTTTGACAAAGCAACATTTTATTAGAGGACCCATTTTAGTAGTTTTTTATAATCAGTCGATGACTTTCGATGCAGGATGTTCATAACGATTTTGAAAATGGAATGGAGAATATTTCCAAAAATATTTATGTCATCATTAAAACTAATGAGAGTTAAGGCTGTTTACTCCAGAAATTTTGATTAGAAATATTCATTATTTTTTATGTTCTGATGCAGATTCGTAGTAAGGTAAGATTCTTAGTTCGGCTAAAATGGTGTTGAAAAACAATCAATCTAGGTCAGTCGGTAGCCAAGCGGTTCGGCGTGGGGTTCACTCACTCGAATTGACTGCCGTGTTGGTCGGTGGTTCAAGCCCTAGTCTGAACGATCGATCTTCACTTGCTACCGTCCAACCCGTATTAGGAATCACACGTTAAAAGGTAATACCTCGTTAATCCTTAGCTCCCACAAGTTTCGACTTCTGAGGGTTGTCGTTCGTAGGGGTGCGATAGCTGGTTAACGGAAAAACAGATTTTAAACAGATTTTTTTAGTAAATGTTCAAGAGGTAGCAAAAACGTATGTGATTTTCTGGAACTTCAACTAGCGTTTCCTAATATGATTGATAACCAGTCCGTGCAAAGCTTATTGTTAGATAGATCATCTGAAAATGGAACTTTTAATCAGTGATGATCGACTGTATTGCCTAACATGCGCCAAACTAATTGACTATTATAAGAAAACAAGTATAGCTGAGGCACCAGTCAATCTAATAATAACACTGATGATCTTCTAACATGACTCTCCTCTGATGGAAGCACCAAACTCTTACGAAGGTTCGAAATAGATGAACACTTCAATCAAGCAGACCACTAATATAATCTTCATACAGTCATTGTTTACTGTGGTTCTCGCGTTGAATCTGGTCATTATTACGCATTGGTCAAATATGAAACGGACTGGTTTAAGTTTGACGATAGTGGTGTCACTAAGTATTCTGGCGATGTCTTGAATTTATTGGAGTCTCTGGAGACACCCTACATTTTGTTTGAAGAAAAATCTTCAGATGATGTGGTGCTGCAACTTTTTACGGGTTTTCCTGCAGCTGAAAAAGCAAATGCGTCACTGTAATCAATGTCGCGCCGGTGCCCCGGAGCGCCAATTAATTTTTGTTGTTGTTTCATAATTTCATGATTTGTATTACAAACTCAAAATATTAATAATAAATGACATTATTTTTGTAAAGTGAAAAATAATTTAACCATGACACTGCTTGTACGACATTCTTGATTTTTTCAAGATTCTTCTTTCATTTTTTCGTAGAATTTATATGTAATACCATCGATAAAAGAATGCTGATTGTTAACCACAGTAGGTGCAAGTCACTAGTAGGTTACAAGTATAATAGTATCATCAAACTGTTTCATCATGCAAACAAGATTGAATTAGTACATACTATGAAGTAAATGTGGATAATTATGAATTACCTGAAATGCATCTCGTTTATGGACTAGCAAATGGAAATGCTGCTGAAGCCCGTCGACTCTATCGAGAAAAATATCCTAACAGAGATAATCCAGCAGAAAGAACTTTCAACAGATTACAAGTTAGACTGCGCATAACCGCGTAACCGGATCTCCAGATATGCCCAAATAATTTTGGGGCCAATCACGAGGCAATTCTATATTATTTCTGATTCAGAATAAAAAACTGTATATAAATTTTGGTTTTTCAAAAAAAAATCCAAAAAAGTTTTACAGGCTGTACTATATATAGGACAATGGGCAGAAGTTATACTACAAATGTTTAGGACAATAAAAATTTATTTAGTATGGTAGGCTACAAAACATTTAACATGCAAACCAATGTCACACTTTCGACACCTAGTGGTAGTTTTTTGGTGGCAAGAACCACATCGTGTTTGTTTTTCTTGGGGTATAACCAAATGGTCCATTGATCAAAGCGCAACTCCAAACACATATTTTTTGAACAATGTCCTCTCTGGTAGGTGGATTCCTTTTTATTTTGGGTGAGTAGGGTATTGGCAATACTCCTTCTGAAGAACAGCTGATCCATAACTCCTCCAGAGTTTTTGTGTAATTGCCACGCATTGTGTACTGCCATGTTTACGCAATGGGTTACTAAAGGAAAGTACCATTTTTTGCCTCTCACAAATGTCCGATATAAACTTATGTTTTGATCAGAACGATCAACTCCGACCATACTTTTATTATACATTTGGACGACATGAGGTTGATCAACTTGAATAAACTTTTTTTCTTTTTGGGAGTATCGTCTAGCGGTGTGTAAAGGGTTCACTCCAACCGCATTGGAAGCAAATGTAACAATGTTATTGTCATTCCACTTGACAAATACTATATTTTGATCAGTAATTTTATTGTAATTATAAGTTCCTCGTGGAGTTTTTTTAGCACTTTGGAGCTACCCAAAGTACTACTTGGAATACGATTTTCACGTATTGTTCCACTACCATATAGTTTCTTCAAAGTAAGATGCTCTAACAAAGGTATAAACGTGAAAAAATTATCGAAAAATAGATGAAATTTCAAATCTTTCCATTTTGATTGTATAGTATCAGCATATTCGAGTACCACTGAAGTTCCAACACCCAACTCGTTATATATTTCGCTGATATTTGTAGCAGCACCTTGATAGGGCTCGAACCAATTTATATATCCCCGACGAGTGGTTCTGACCCATAACTTATAATCATATCGAATTGGCTTTCCATGGATATACTATTTACAGCCATGTCTGCCAGTATAGGGAACCATAGCTTCATCAACGTTATGGTCCTGTTCAATGTAAGCATTTTCTAGAAACTTTCCTTTCAGATACGTAAAGAGAGGTCTGATTTTGGCAAACTTGTCTGATTGATCCAAAATATTGTTATCCTGAAAATGAATATTTGAGAGAATGTATTCAAATTTGTTCCTAGATATTGCTTGGGAAACTAAAGTACTATTAGTATCTTGTGCTCGTTCCCAAAACATTCTCCTTCTGGGAAGTGGAACATAGCCACTCAGAATAAGGACTCCAATGAAACTTTTCATTTCGCTAATATCTACCCGAATGGACCTATTTTTCTGAGATGCATACCTATTTGTTTCTTCAGTGATGTCTCGAAGAATCGTTTCATCAAAGAAGAGCGAAAATAACTGAAAAGGGTTATGTTCGCTTGCATTCTCACTTTGAGACTTTTCAAATAAATCATTATTATTCTGAATATCTTCTCTCACATAATTGTAAACTTTTTTCTTTTTCTTCTTATTGTTCGATGTTTTCTTTCCCTGACTGGTGTCAATTCCACTCAAATTTTCTTTCATTTGTGACAATGGTATTTCATCGTCTGAATCCCAGTCAGAATCATAGTGATATTTAGATGATACCTCACATTTAGTTTGCAATTGTGACGCAGGTAAATTATTCATTGCCAAAGCTTCATGCAGAGAAAATCCCCTAAAAAATCATAATGGTATAGTATGTTCCCATTGTCCTAAATATAGGTCACATATATTCACATGCGTAGAACAAAAATACTAAGATGACATGATTATTCATCTGTATGTTGGATATTAGATATACCTTCCAACTAAGTGAAAACGAGAAAATTATTATTTTACATTCATCCAAAATCTGAAAATGATGACTCACCTTGCGAAGTTTACACCGTACTCAGCCATTTCGAGAATTCCACAAATTATAATTTCTTCCCACTTTCAATCATTAGTCTTCCTACTAATATCTTAACATCATGCACGGAAGGCAACAGTACACTAACGGGAGGACAACAATACTAGATCGTTTTATTCCAAGTTCAGACAAGATTTGACGAGTTTGAGGTGTACTACATGTAGGACATTGGGCATATCTGAGTTAACAAAACACACCCAGCGTCCTGGTAGACCGAGGACAATAATGACATCACAATTAGAGGAAGCAATTCTTGCAAAAAATTGACAGCAATTATTCAACAAGGACCCCCCAAAAATTTTCTATCAATTTCAGTATCAGACATCTAAGTATTTGAAAGATTTTGCATACGAATACTTCCATAATGATCTTATTCGGGCCTACGAGAATCCCCATGCTACTATAGAAAGTGTTTTTCAGCAGGACTTTCGGTGAACATCTGGGCGGGAATTTTTGGTCTCATAGGACATAATTTTTTTTCTCCTTGACTCAATGGTGTGATGTATAGGCAATTTCTAGAAAACGCATTGCCAGAATTCTTAGACACCCGCTTTTTCAGTGTAACCGTTAGTGAATATCTTACTGATAATTTTGCTCGCCAGTGGATAGGTCGTGAGGGACCTCAACCATGGTCACCTAGATTTCCAGATTTAAGCCCACTGGATATCTTGAATCGCTTGTTTTGGCGACACCAATTGTCGATGAAAATGACATGAGAAATAAAATTATGCACAATTCTAATGTCATACGCAACACCCCGAGAATTTTTGAACGTGTGTGGCACTCGATGAGGAGAAGACTTGATGCTTGTATTGATGCCAAGATTCTCATTTTGAGCATCTGATTCAATAATTTTTCATCATTACCTATGCTGTCCGAATAAAATACAAATTAACTAGCAGTTTGAATACGTCTTCTATCTACTATCCAAACAGATTTCCATTTCAAAGTTTGTTCAAATGGCGACGAATATCAAAACACATTTTTGAATATAAATGCTGCGTAATCCAAATTTCTACGCCACTGACTCTGATTCGATAAAGTTTAGCTTTTTCAAATGATATCAAACTTGTTGAAAACAGTGGCGTGCAATGAGTTCTACCATAACATCAATCAAATGAACCCCAGCGACGCCACTGGAATTTAAATTCCAAATGTAATTATATGAAAAGAAGCCCTTTGTTACTCATAACAAACACATGTCGTTTAATCAAAACCGGCGAAAATAATTGTGAATTATTGAAAAGAATAATATTTATAGTAAAACTGTGACACCTC